GAGGGAGGGAAAAAGAATGGGGAAGGGCGCGTGCATTTGGCATTAATATTTCTAAGTAACAAAATGTAACAATTTATTAATCTGTGTCACAGACATTCATAGAGTGTAATTCAAGCCACATCTTTGTTTCCAGGGGGGAAGGTACAGAACCTCCGTCAGGTTTTTATTTCTGGAAGATGAAAAGAGAATTAGATCTACCACACCAATGTATGGGCGTCCTCGTGTATTTATTACATCAGAGGAATCATCAGACATCATCCATCAGACAAGAAGCCAACGTGTTTCAGGGCAATGCGGTTCCTTCTTCACACGGGGCTGAGATCGCTCATTTAGTTGAACTCTTAGTAGTTGACAAGGGAGGGCTGCTGTTAGAAATCATAGGGCCCGTACCGCCTACATGACAGGAATCCCCCCCCCCCCCACTGACACCAATGCACAGGCATTTTTATCTTTAAGTGACACCACCAACTCATGAACATATTTTTCCTTTCAGTGACATCACCTATGCAGGGGCTCTTTTTTCGTTCCAGTGACATCACCAACACACAGGCATTTTTACCTGTAAGTGACACCACTGATGCACCAACAAACAGACATTTTTATCTTCAAGTGACACCAGAATTTTTTTCTTTCCACTGACAGCACCAATGCAGGGTATATATTCCTTCCAGTGACACTTCCTATGCAGGGGCATTTTTTTAATTTCCAGTGACACCACCAAGGCACAAGCATTTTTACCTTTAAGTGACACCACTGATGAATCAACACACAGGAATTTTAACCTTCAAGTGACACTATCGACAAACAGGCATATTTTCCTTTCAGTGACACCACTGATATCGAGATATTTTTTTTTCCACTGACAGCACCAATGCAAGGGCTTTTTTACCCTCAAGTGACACCACTGATACGTAGGCATATTTTCCTTCCAGTGATACCACCTATGTAGGAAGATTTTTGTTTTTATTTCCAATGACACCACCAACAAAAAAGCCATTTTTTCCTTCAGGGTGCACCACTGATGCAGGTTCATTTTTTCTTCTCGCTGACCGTCCGGATTCACAAGGTGTCTTTCCTCGCCGACGCAGGAACATTTTCCCTTCAATTAAACCCTTCAATTCTCTGCAGCAGTTATTGGCATTATTACAGTGATGTCAGTGATGCACTGTGCGTCGCTCCGCGCTGATGCGCCCCCTGCCCCCGTGCTGTGCTCCCCTTGCCCCGCGCTGTGCGCCCCCTGCCCCGCTCTGCCCCCCTGCTCCGCGCTATGCCCCGCTGCTGTCCACGCGCCCCCTGCCCCGCACTGTGCTCCCCTTGCCCCCGCGCTGTGCGCCCCCCTGCTCTGCGCTGTGCGCCCCCTGCTCCTTGCTGTGCACCCCCTGCTCCACGCTGTGCGCCCCCCTGCTCCGCGCTGTGCGCCCCCTGCTCCGCGCTGTGCGCCCCCTGCTCCGCGCGCTGTGCACCTCCTGCTCCGCGCAGTTTGGCACCTTCACCCTGGTCATTGGATGACCTGGTCCCAGCTCACGGTCAGCTTCAGCTATGACAAATATCTGGAATAATTTGCTGAAATTTCAATGTAAACCCAACCAGACTGGTGATTAAAGCAGCTCCTTTGTATACGGATCTAACAATGCCAGTATAATCTGTACACAGACAAAAATTTAAACAAAAAAAAATAAAAAACAAACAAAAAAAAAAAAAACCCCAAACCCCCCCCCCCTCCCAAAAAAAAAGGAAATAAAAAGAAAACACACAGCAAAAAAAAAAAACAGGCAGACTCGATGGACCTTAGATTGTACACTCCTCAGGGGCGGGGACTGATGTGAATGTACATTAAATATGTAAAGCGCAGCATAAATTTACGGCGCTATAAAAGTACCCGAAATAAAATAAATAAAATAAAATGGACCACTTGGCCTTTTTCCGCCATCACCTTTCTATGTTTCTATAATTAAGTCAGAAAGAATACAATGTAACGAATAATATCAAACTGTTTTGTATCCTTCGGAAACATTCTTTCCAGGCTTGCTCTAGGATTCTTATCTGTAAATGTTAATTAATATGTTTTCTAAAAAGAAAAAAAAAAATTTACCCCCCTCACCTCCCCCCCCCCCACCCATCTCCCCTCTAAGGTCCTCCCTGCAATTATATCTGTAGACACAATATAGACTGTTTATCATTTCGGAACGCTTACGGGGAAGGTATATTTTCAGTGAAACACATAATATGGGTGTTTGCGGTGTTTACCTTGAAGACATTTTATACGACTCTCACATTTTAAAAGCTTACTCTTCCATATATATATATATATACATACATATACATTTTTTTTTATTTTTTTTTTAAAGATTATAGAAAGTTTGCATGTTATAAAGAAACAATTTCACCATAAGTGCTTCGTAGTCTATAAAACATCAAATTCCTCCCAATAACCTTGAAAGATATTTCCTTCTGCAATCCTGTGACCGCAATCATTGCTTTTCTGCAGAGTGGGGGAGGGGTGCATGGTCTATTGACAGTGAGACACTGCTCTACCTGGCTCGACTTCCATAGGAAAAAAAAAAGAAAAAGAAGGAGTATCCTACTAGGCCAAAAATATACAGTCCTATCAAGTATCCTCAGAATGGAAGCCATCCACAATGCTAAAATTTCAAAAACATACCATCCAAATGGACTCATGGCTCTAACCAATCCCAAACTGTGTAATAATATTAATGAAAAAATAAATGAGAGATTAATCCCCCACAGATGTCCTTATATTAACACTCATAAAAAAAAATATCTGTGAAGACCCATGACAAATGGTACCTAGTGAATTAAAATACACACAAAAACACCCATCGTGGGGGCTCGTCCGGGATCTAGCTAGATGCTTGGTGTCCATGGGCATTGGCCTCCTATAGGTCCCAATGAAAGGAACACTGATGCAAATTGAACAAGAAATTCAGAGGATCAGCCATAACATAATGACCACCGGGTGATCTGGCCAGTAACACACGTCCTCCACTCCATAGTAACATCAAGCCAGCAACTCGGTATAGTCCATAAAATCCAAATCTTCATTGGCTGCATACTAAAAAAAAAAAGCTAACGTGTTTCGGCTGTGACAGCCTTCCTCATAGCACAGGTACAACTTCCTCATAGCACAGGTACAATTCCTCATAGCACAGGTACAACTTCCTCATAGCACAGGTACAACGTCCTCATAGCACAGGTACAACTTCCTCATAGCACAGGTACAACTTCCTCTAGCACAGGTACAATAGCACAGGTACAACTTCCTCATAGCACAGGTCCTCATACAAAGTACAACTCCTCATAGCACACAACGTCCTCATACACAGGTACAACTTCCTCATAGCACAGGTACAATGTCCTCATAGCACAGTCCTCATAGCACAGGTACAAATGTCCTCATAGCACAGGTACAACGTCCTCATAGCACAGGTACAACGTCCTCATAGCACAGGTACAACTTCCTCCACATAGCACAGCACAGGGTCCTCAACACAGGTACAACTTCCTCATAGCACAAGTACAACTTCCTCATAACTCAGGTACAACGTCCTCATAGCACAAGTACAACTTCCTCATAGCACAGGTACAACGTCCTCATAGCACAGGTACAACTTCCTCATAGCACAGGTACAACTTCCTCATACACAGGTACAATGTCCTCATAGCACAGGTACAACGTCCTCATAGCACAAGTACAACTTCCTCATAGCACAGGTACAACTTCCTCATAGCACACAACTTCCTACAACTTCCTCATAGCACAGGTACAACGTCCTCATAGCACAGGTACAACTTCCTCATAGCACAGGTACAACGGTACACCGGTACTTCCTCATAGCACAGGTACAACTTACTCATAGCACAGGTACAAATTCCTCATAGCACAGGTACAACTTACTCATAGCACTTACAACTCCTCATAGCACAGATACAACTTCCTCATAGCACAGGTACAACGTCCTCATAGCACAGGTACAACGTCCTCATAGCACAGGTACGACGTCCTCATAGCACAGGTACAACGTCCTCATAGCACAGGTACAACTTACTCATAGCACAGGTACAACTTCCTCATAGCACAGGTACAACGTCCTCATAGCACAGGTACAACGTCCTCATAGCACAGGTACAACTTCCTCATAGCACAGGTACAACGACGTCCTCATAGCACAGGTACAACTTCCTCCTCATAACACAGGTACAACGTCCTCATAGCACAGGTACAACGTCCTCATAGCACAGGTACAACTTCCTCATAGCACAGGTACAACGTCCTCATAGCACAGGTACAACGTCCTCATAGCACAGGTAGCACAACTTCCTCATAGCACAGGTACAACTTCCTCATAGCACAGTACAACTTCCTCATAGCACAGTTACACCTGTGCTATGAGGAAGGCTGTCAGAGTCGAAACACGTTAGCCTGTTACCAGTGCGTTTTAGTATGTAGCCAATAAAGATTTGGATTTTATGGACTGTACTGAGTTGCCGGATCTGATTGTTTGAGTGTGGGAGCACCAGAGGCAGAGCACCGGTCTTCAGCCACTAGATGCTGAACCTGAAGTTGAACTTTGGTTTCTTGTGTATTTTCTGACTATTAGAGCGCCCCCATTCTGGATGAAGGTGCACAGGGGGTACATTTGGACAACAGCATTGTTAATCTTGGGGGGGAGGGGAGTGTTACTAGCAGAGTTAGATAAATAAAAGCTGATCGTTGTAAGTACCCCTGTCGGTGGTTTGTCTCTTCCCTGTAACTGCAGGAGAGCTTGCTCTTTTGAAAAACAACAGACTCATTGGCTGGATCACCAGATGAAAATAGAAGAAATAAAAGCTAAAAAGAAAAGCAATGCAGCCATCACATCTAAGAATTGGAAGAAATGTTCCTTTTGGGTTTAATACAACGTTAACCACTTTCCCAAAAATACTGCTACAGGGTGGCAGGGCGGCAGGGCGGCAGGGCTGCGCAAAATCATGCATATGGCGGCCTCAGCTGTCAATCCCTGGGTCCCGGCCGGTGATTCTCCGCCTGCACATGGCGATCGCCGAGCATCGATGACAGGGGAGAGACCTGTATGTAAACAGGTCAGCTCCAGCACACTGCTTTGTATGGCTCTGCATAGCAGCATGCGTACAGTGAATGCACCCAGCACACAGTTAACCCTTTGATCGCCCCAGATGTTAACACCTTCCTGCCCAGTGCCATTAGTACAGTGTCAGGGCTTTTTATTAGTACTGATCACGTTATTGATGTCACTGGGGATGTCAGTGACACCAAGTCAGTTCCCCCCCCCCCTCCCAGTGTCAGAATGTCCACCGCAGTCCCGCTATAAGTCGCTGATCGCCGCCATTACTAGTATAAAAGAATAAATAAATACAAATTCCAGTATCTTTCCCGCCATTTTTAAACTCTATAACTTTCACGTAAACCAATTAATTTACACATATCGGGATTTTTTTACAGCAAAGAATACATTTTGGCCAAAATATATGACGAAATTGTATTTTTCAAATTTTTTTTTACTGGACATGTTTAATAGCAAAAAGTCAAAAATATTGTTTTTTTTTTCTCAGAATTGTCAGTATTTTTTGTTTATAGCGCAAAAATGTAAAAATACGCAGGTGATCAATAAACCACCGAAATAAAGCGTGAATATATTATATAATTATATAATATATAATAAAATATATTTGAAATGTATTTTAAAAATATTCTTCCCAAATATATTGACATATATTTGAAATGCTACGATTTTGGCCGTATTCAATATATTTAAAAATATATTTCAAGCAGTGCAGTCCCCCCCCCCCCCCCCCCCCCCCCCCCCGGGCCCTCCCTGTTCCTGTCCATAGATACAATGTAATCTGTTTATACACTTAGAAGGAAATTGTATTTTCAGTGACAACATATTTTGAGTTGTTATTGCGGTAAAGCGCCGCCGCGTCCAGCTGACGGCCGTGACAATATTTATGTTTTTTTAACAAGCCGTAAAAGAACTTTAAAGTGTAAACATCAACATTGAATTTATCATCTTCACTTCATTTACTCGCCTTCCAGAGGATCCCCCCCGCCTTCCTAACCAGGCCATTTTTTTCATTACGGTGCTGCGTTATTTTATCTGACAATTGCGCGGTCATGCAACGCTGCACCCTAATAAAATTTGAGTCCTTTTTTCCCACGAATTGAGCTTTCTTTTGGTGGTATTTGATCGCCCGTGTGTTTTTTTTTTTCCGCTATAAACAAAAAAAGACCGAAAATTTTGAGAAAAAAAAAACAATATTTTTTACTTTTTACGATTAAACATGTCCAGTAAAAAAAAAGTGTGTAAAAATCAAATTTCGTCATAAATTTCGGCCAAAATGTATTCTGCTCCGTGTCTTTGCTAAAAAAAAATAAAATCCCAATACGTGTAAATGAATTGGTACGTGAAAGTTACAGCGTCTACAAATGGCGGTATAGATACTGGGATTTTTATACTAGCAATGGCGGCGATCAGCGACTTATAGCGGGACTGCGGCGGGCATTCTGATACTGGGCGGAACTATTTTTACTAGTAATGGTGGCGATTAGTGACTTATAGTGGGACTGCGGCAGGCATTCTGACACTGGGGCGGAACTATTTTTTACTAGTAATGGCGGCGATCAGCGACTTCTATCTGGACTTCGGCAGGCATTCTGACACTGGGGGGGAACTGACTTGGTGTCACTGACAGCCCCAATGACACCAATACAGTGATCAGTGCTAATAAAAAGCACTGACACTGTATTATGGCACTGGGCAGGAAGGGGTTAACATGAGGGGCGATCAAAGGGTTAACTGTGTGCTGCGTGCTTCACTGTAATCACACTGCTTTGTATGGCTCTGCTATGAAGAGTCATACAAAGCAGTGTGCAGGAGCTGACAGGGGAGAGATCTGTGTTGTTTATACACAGGTCTCTCCCCCATCTGTATCTGAGATACTCGGTGAGCACCAGGTGCCGGCAAGGAATCACCGGGCGGGACCCGGTGATTGACAGCTGAGGCCACGGATGGTATATACGTGATTTTGCGAACCCGTGCCGCCCTGTAGCAGTATTTCTGCTGAACCGGTTAATTATACTGCCTACATTTTTTTTTAGTAATTCTATTTAACAAGTGCAAATAAATACCTGTTGTTCCTGCCAGAAATCCAATGTCCTCTAGTGGGCCCTGTGCTCACTGCCCGGCACCATAGAGCTGGATTGGCATTTGCCATTGAAACACCAGAATTGTCAGGTCCACCACTGGCGCCCTCTGCTTTTCACAGACTTATTGCAAGACCACATACAGCCTCAGGGAACTTATTTCCAATACCCACCTGCAGTAGCACCCAACTGTAATGGGCTTTATCTGGATCAGAATATGATCATGTATATTAACATTCATAAATTTGATATAAATCACACACAGAAACAGGGGTTCGTTTACAAAGAAAAGTATTCTACTGTATATTTGGAAACAAAATTGTAGTAAAATGCAGTACACTTAATGGGACAAAGATTGTAGGCGCCTGACCATCACACCTATTACAGATTGTTGAACTAGGCCACTGGGGCATCCCAACCTAAAACCATGGCCATTATTGCCCCCCTCCAAAACCAACAATATGGAGTTGCCCCCTCCTGGCCAATGATATGGAGTTTCCCCCTCCATGGCCAATAATATGGAGTTTCCCCCTCCATGGTCAATAATATAGAGTTGACTCGCTACATGGCCAATAATATGGAGTTTCCCCCTCCATGGCCAATAATATGGAATTGACCCTCTACATGGTCAATAATATGGAATTTCCCCCTCCATGGCCAAATAATATGGAGTTGGCTCTCTACATGGCCAATAATATGGAGTTTCCCCCTCCATGGCCAATAATATGGAGTTGACTCTCTACATGGCCAATAATATGGAGTTGCCCCCTCCATGGCAAATAATATGGAGTTGCCCCCTCCATGGCCAATAATATGGAGTTGACCCTCTACATGGCCAATAATATGGAGTTTCCCCCTCCATGGCCAATAATATGGAGTTGACTCTCTACATAGCCAATAATATGGAGTTGACCCCCTTCAGCTTCAATAATTGCCCCTTTTTCGTGGCTATCACAGCCTCTGCTCCTCTGAGGAGGCTTTCTATTTTGGAGGGAGTCTGTGGGAATTTGTGGCCATTTGTGAGGTCCGGTTCTGATGTTGGATGAGAAGACCTGGCTCACTATTTGCATTCCAATTCATCCCAAATGTGTTCAGCTGAGGTCAGGGCTCTGTGCAGAACATTTGGGTTCCCCCACACCAAACTGGTCAAATCATGTCTTTATGGATCTGGGCATCTAATACCAAAAACCATGACCATTATAATGGAATTCCCCCGTGGCCATTCCATAGAGTCCCCCCCGGTTATTAACATAGAGTTGCCCCCTTTTGTGACTATAACATCCCCCACTCTTCTGGGAAGGCTTTCCACAAGATTTTGGAGGGTGTCTGTGGGGAATTCGTGGCCATTCGTGAGGACAAGTGTTAAAAATGGCGGGTGTGTATAAGTGGGTGCTGCAGCGATCGTCGGCTGGAATCGAACAGAATCAGCAAGGGAGAATGTCACCAGCACACCGGGGATCACCAATATGGGTCTAAAAGTTTTAATGAATGATCACATAGTTAGAGCAAGGCAACGCTTCGGAGTCTCGCAGGGCTCCTTCATCAGGCATGTGATAAGGACAGGTACTGATGTTTGATGAGATACCTGGCTCAACATTGGCATTCCAATTCATCCCAAAGGCGTTCAGTAGGGATGAGGTCAGGACTCTGTACAGAACACTCCAGTTCCTCCACAACAAACTGGTCAAACCATGTCTTTATAGATCTGCCTTTGTACACAGGGGCACAGTCATGCTGGAACACAAAAAAGGGTCTTCACCAAACTGTTACCAAAAAACTGGAAGACCACAATTGTCTACAATGTCTTTGTATGATGTTGTTTTAACAGTACCCTTCGGCCATTAACATAGAGTTGCCCCCTTTTGTGACTATAACATCCCCCACTCTTCTGGGAAGGCTTTTCACAAGATTTTGGAGGGGTGTTTGTAGGGAATTTGTGGCCATTTGTGAGGACAGGTACTGATGTTTGACGAGATACCTGGCTCAGCAATGGCATTCCATTTCATCCCAAAGGCATTCAGTGGAGTTGAGGTCAGGGCTCTGTACAGAACATTCTAGTTCCTCCACAAGAAGCTGGTCAAACCATGTCTCTATAGATCTGGCTTTGTACACAGGGGCACAGTCATGCTGGAACACAAAAAAAGGGTCTTCACCAAACTGTTACCACAAGGCTGGAAGACCACAATTGTCTACAATGTCTTTGTATGATGTCGTTTTAATAGTACCCTTCGGCCATTAACATAGAGTTGCCCCCTTTTGTGACTATAACATCCCCCACTCTTCTGGGAAGGCTTTCCACAAGATTTTGGAGGGTGTCTGTGGGGAATTTTTGGCCATTTGTGAGGACAGGTACTGATGTTTGATGAGATACCTGGCTCAACAATGGCATTCCATTTCATCCCAATGGCTTCAGTAGGGTTGAGGTCAGGGCTCTGTACCGAAACACTCCATTTCCTCCACAACAAACTGGTCAAACCATGTCTTTATAGATCTGGGTTTGTACACAGGGGCACAGTCATGCTGGAACAAAAAAAGGGTCTTCACCAAACTGTTACCACAAGGCTGAAAGACCACAATTGTCTACAATGTCTTTGTATGATGTCGTTTCAACAGTACCCTTCGGCCATTAACATAGAGTTGTCCCATTTTGTGACTATAACATCCCCCACTCTTCTGGGAAGGCTTTCCACAAGATTTTGGAGGGTGTCTGTGGGGAATTCGTGGCCATTTGTAAGGACAAGTGTGCAATCCAAACGCACACGTTCCTGTATTAAAAATGGCGGTGTGTATAAGTGGGTGCTGCAGCGATTGTCGGCGGGAACCGAACAGAATCAGCAAGGGAGAATGTCACCAGCACACCGGGAATCACCAATATAGGTCCAAAGGTTTTAATGAACGATCGCATAGTTACAGCAAGGCAACATTTCGGAGTCTCGCAGGACCCCTTCATCAGGCATGCGATGAGGACAGGTACTGATGGGGCTACAGATACCTTAGGTGTGTGGTATGCTTCAAAGAGATAAAGCATTGAATACGGTACAGACTGCTATAATCGGCAACATTTTAAGTTCCAAAGAACTATTTAAACTATTTGGAACTATTTAAGTTCCAAAGGCTTTGCGGGAATGTTTAATGACCCTTAGAAAACGCCCCACCTCTACTCTC